TGTATTTACTACAGATTCCATTGGATACAAATCGACTGTAATAATCTTTTCGTCCTTAGGTTAAACCTTAAGGACGATACTTGTAATGAAAGCCTCTTATATTTGTTTTACTTGTGCACATGAATTTGAAACCACTGATTTTTTTTTTCCTCTTAGAATGCTTATATGTTCTCATCTTTGCTATAAAAATCAAGGTGGAGTCTTCAAGCAATGCTCATTTCTAATGTATGATTCGACACTATTTGCTCACGACTTGTAATAATTTTTTTTTCCTTGTGCTCTTAATTCAGGTGAAGTACAAGAGAACATTCACTATGAATCTTTAGGGCTCTTGATTGGATTGAGAGTCACTGAAGGTTATTTATTTTGATCATATGAATTGCAAATGCCGAAAAAAAAAAAAAAAGACGATCTTTGTTCGTGTGGGACTTGTGAAACTCGAGTAAAATGTTGCAGAAACTGAAGCTGTTGGTCATGTAGGCATTGAAACAGTAACTGTAGAATGAAATGCTTGCTATCTTAGATTTTTTTATTTAAAAAAAAAATTTGGGAGTTAACAAAAGAGCTATTTTCCATCTGGCCATGAATTTGGTGGTTCCAAAAGGATCTTTGAAATATTATGTATAGATCATTAGTTATGTTATTTTCTTTGTTGAACTGTGATGGTATCCTCTTCCTTTTATACATATTTTTCATCTAATTGTAATTAAGGAATCTGCAAAGCAGAGCAGCCTACAAGTTCCATTAATATAGTTTTATATTGAAGACAAATGTGTTTCCTTACATTAATAAATGTTCAATACCCTGAATAAATGGGTGTTCATAATTTTCAAAATGAATATTTATTGGGCTGTTTCAAAATTAAGGTTAAGTTTTCTACAAGTACTTCAAATTGTCCACACTAAACTTAGTTTCTTTCATTTTTGTTGATTATTTATATTTGACTACTTATTTTACTCTAAAATTCAATGTCATATCCAGTTTTGTTGAGCAACAACCACCACAGGTCTACTATTCCAAACAAAATGAAAAAAAGTGCACAAAATAAAAGGGTAAACTGCAAGAGCTTGTTCTGATGCAAAAACAAATCAGTTTTTCAAACGGCACCCTTTAAGTAGACCAAATACCACAATCTTTTTTAAAAAAAAAAAATTGAAAAAAGTAAACTAAGAAAGGGTAATCTACGCGAGTTAAAAACGGATTCAAAATTACTCAAGATCTCTTTCGCTTGGAGGCAGCAGACCCAGAGCCTCTACCTCCTTTGGCTTCTGAAGTTTTTGGAGCAGCATTTGCTTTCCCTCTGCCGGACGATCCCTTTTTCGCACTCGAGCTTCCTGATGACCCCTTCAGCTCCATTTGCACACGGATAGCTGAAAATATATATTAAAAGAACCGGTTATAACTTCATTACATTACCGAGTAAACCCCACTTGAAATTTCATCCTTTGTTATACAATACCCCTCAGCAGATGCATTTTGTAAGGAGCAATAGCATGCTTGTAAGTTGGTAACAAAAAAAAAGTAATCATACCAACCTTTTGAATTTAGACTCTCCAAGTTAGACTGCAGCTTCTTCTCTGGATCAACCAATTCATCGTCATCCTCTGGAACAAAACCACGTGCAATGTGTAAATAACTATGATGGTTTTACAACTATATTTACCAATCTAAGACGATAATAGTAAAAAATAGAGATATATCAACAACATTCAGGTAGTAGTCCGACTTTATTTTGAGTCTTGGTAAGAAGAATCAAAATTGTAAGAAAAAAAAAAAAATACAAACTGTAAAACAAAGTAGATTCACAAAATTATTGCCGAAGTTGAGCAAAACTTCTTCTATTATACTGGGGATTCTTTCATACCCTGGTCATCGGCATCTGAGAGATTTTCCTCTTCATTTTCGACATTTTCCCCAACTAAATTGTCTTCAATGGGTTCTAGCATAGCCGCCACTCGTTTTTTCGGAGCCTTTTTTATTCCAGGAAGGGTTATTAAATCGGCAGCACGGACCACACGTGACGAGCTGCCTTTGTTATAAGCTCTTGTCAGAGCAGCTTTTACCGCAGGCTGTACGCCATCCAGTGGATTTGGATGCCCCTAAAAGTGTATGTATACAATACACAGCAAAAAAAACAGAAAAATAAAATAAAATTGTCAAGGGTTATTTAAAAGATTATCGCTAATTTTATCTTAATTACCAAAAACACCACTTATCGTATCGAAGCTACAAAAACACCCTTCGAAGGTTATATAACTCGTAAGAAATACTTGGATGGGATGGAGAAACAATTGTCAATAAAGTATCAGTGAATCTGAAAAAATGAACATTCTCTCTTATTACATCTTTTCTGCTTCTCTTTTTGCATTTAGGATTAAACTCAGGGTTACTTTGGTAGTTACTCCGAAATTTTAGGCACAAATACAGAAGACAAGAAGACATAATTATTTGACGTTAGTTTTATTTTTACCTTAAATTTCGACATCTCCACAATGGTATCGAAGTCCTCCATGCTAATAGAGTATAGATCCATGAACTCCACAACCTTCTCCACGGCTTCATCCTGGCCGTACATTACAAAAAACAGTGTAAGATCAGCCACACATACACAGACACACACACACACACACACACATAAAAAGAGTTACAACCTTAGGCAGCATCTTCAGAGGATCGGTCAAACGCTTCAAAAGAATTGTAAGGTAATCAAGGCGCAAGGTTGCCCTGCCATGCAGAATATAATCATGGTTAAAAGCATAGGCACAAACTATCACAAGTTTAACTTTGCAAAATCATTGCCGGAAAAACATTTTGTAGAATGGAATTAAAAGTACCTTCCAGAATTCGATTCACGTGAAGCAAGAAGATGGACATGAAGGTCCTCCAGAAGTCTGTAGTTCTTCCCCATAGTAGAATTTTTTCCCAGCCAGCCACCAAATCTATTGTAATTGCGTTCTCCCTGCAAACGGCAAGACAACTATGAATAGATTATAACTGGAGAATGGGTAATAAATCTATTTAGAACTTTTTGCTACTTCCTATTAATGGTAACCATATTTTTAGACTAATCCAATTGCTAATTTTAATATTATCTCATCAAACGTTGATGCCACTTACAGTAAATGTAGGTAATTCATTGCATATCAGAACTTAGCAGGGTAATTTATGAAAATAAAGATACACATCATTTAAGCAGATTTTTTTGCTACATTCAATTCACAATCACCATCTTTCACCTTATCATGTAAAACATATTGACACCGTACAAATATATGTAATAGGTCACTAGAAATCATATACTATAATCCAGCAGCATTACTTAGCTGTAAATTCTAAACAACCAGAGAATAAACAATGGTGAAATATAAAAGAGGCAAACATAGTGCATAGTAAGAGATCAATCACCTGCTCAAATGTTTCACGTTGCCCGTGCATCAAAGCCGCACTAATTTACAACAAAATATAATACCATCAATGTCATCAGTAAAATAAACAAATACGTAGACAGTTTCAGGACCCAAAATATAGAGAACTTACGGAATTATGGATGATGCAAGACAACCAGTCTGAGAAAGCTGCCATTGACGGTATCTTCGGATCTGGACATTAACAATATCACCATCCCCAATTGACTCGGCAGCCCGAGCCAGTAAACTCATCCTTTTTATTCCATTATCATCTTTACCAGTTGAACTTGGCCTATAATTGATATAGTTTTCCTGGAATTAAGATAATATTCATAAGATTCTCAAATGCCCAGGCAGTATATTTTACAGTTCCAAGAACTAACAGCCTCACAGAGGTTTGTACATATTAGCTCAGGGTTAACTTTTGAAGAATCAGTACAACGTGAAGCAAGTCCAAGTTCAAGATTGTAACTGTTAGACATTCAAATATGCAAGCAGCAGGATAAAAAGAAAGATACCTGGATAATAAGGGGTACAAGATCAGCATCGCTCATGCTAAGATCAATTCTCTCATCCATTCGTAACTTCCCACCATTGAAGCTGAAAAGCCTGCATGTAAAAAAAAAAAAAAAGTGACATTGTTTACCTTCGGACATGAGAAGATGTATACAAACAAGACATATCACACAAATGAAAAATAAAAAATAAAAAATGAGAGCTACATGGACTGGGGGCAAAAAAGAATAGCACTGAACAGACAACTACGATATACTGATATAGCTTACTTATCAACAGCCGTAAAAGGGGAAATATCTTCATCCTTTGAGCTGCTCTGAAGCCTTTGTTTGATGTCATCGAATTTTATGATAGACATCGAGAGGCTCATATACTGCAGTTGATTGAGGGCCATACGGATGTCTCCATTGACTCTTTCTGCAAGTTCCTCCAGGGCAATCTACCATCGCAAACACCATAATAATTTTTTAATAAAATGACAATCAAATTTGAAAGAACAACGATTCGATCTCTAGGTCAGGAAAAGTAGTAGAAAGAACAAGAAGCATCAGGTTTAAGTAATATTAATGCATCAATATATATAATAAACCAGTCACAACCCTTAAAAGTCAAAATAAAACGAAAAGGAATTACAAGTATTCCCAAAATGTAAGTACCTGGTTAATTTGAAGGCCTTCTGCATTGGCTATTTGTGATAACCGTTTAGCCATCTACATTGTCATTCACATAATTATTAATACCAAAACTAAAATTAGGAGCAATCAGACTACATCAAATTTCAAGACCAAGGACATGATCACAGAAATGTTTAGTATCAACCAAAATTGCCAATTTTATTAAATACACTTGCTTGCACACACACCATGCTCAATATTCCCCAGGATATCCACTAGATTATCACAATCAAAAGAAGCCATACAAACCCTTAGATTAATAGTAAAAATGTTTTTTGCATCCACAAGTATGAATAATGAAATAAGAAGAGACCTGCTGCTTTGTCGGCTTCCGGAAGCTAAGAAGCAAGCAGTAGTTTACAAGGCTCTTGAGTTTCTGACTATATCGGTCGTTACATATGCAAATTATAGGAATTTTCGAGATTTTGATGCTGGCAATAAGATCAGCTACTCCACCTCTATCTCCAGCAGACATACCATCTACTTCATCCATAATAAGAACAGTCTTTGGATGCTGAGATCTGAAATAACAAGTCAGAACTATAATTGATTAAATAAAAAAGTTACGTTTCTAATAGAACCATAAGATTGGATGCCAACCGTTCCATGTTAAGACCCAGGGATTCATTGCTGACAAGTTCTTTGATAGAATTAGAAGTGCTTCCACCAATTCCCTTCTCAATTTTAGCATCAGCCTTTCCCCGACTGTCACTAGCATTAACCTAAGCAGAGAATATACTAATATACATTGAGAATCATTTAAGATATATAACTTGAAAAAAAAAAAAAGAGGGAGAAAAAGATAAAAGATGATGCCTGACCTCAATTACTTGGAAACCGAGCATCTTACTAATCAACTTAGCTGAAGTAGTCTTCCCAATTCCAGGTGTTCCACTCAGCAGAACAGCTTTTTTAGCACTGGAATCATTCTGTTTCTTTCCCTTTCCTTTTTTACCAGAGTGAAGAAATTGGTCATCCCAATGTGCTAACCAATCACGGAGCTGATTTACCTGCAGTCAACCTGATACTGTTACTCATAAAGCAGTTATACACACAGGCTTCACCTTAGAATTTCACTTCTAAAGGAGAGCTCAAAAGTACTAAAAGCATACCAGAGACTGATTCCCGACAATATCATTTTGAACTTTTGGCCTATATTTTTCATTCCATGGCAACAAATTCTGTGCATTAGGTTCACTTTTTCGCTTGGAAGAAAGGGCTGCAGTAGCCAATCCTTTAGTACCTGAGCTTCCAACATCGCCAGCTTGTTCTAGAAAGATATATGGAAGTCAAGCTACAACGTTTATAAAGAAAATCAAACCAAAAAAAAGAGGAACATAAGGCTGTTACTTGTCCAACCCAGTCAACAAACCAAGTACTGGTGGACAATGTTCATAACCCAATTATAGAGATGTTCTTCTCTCTTCATCAACTTGGATTAATATAGAGGTCAAAAGTTTGATACAAAGGAAAAAAAGCTTACACTCGATGTTGATCACACTGAATTTTATTTCCAAACCACTCATGTGTTTACAGTTCAAAACATGTTAGTTCACTTCCACTCAACCCAACAACTTTTCATCATACTAGTGATTTACTACATCCCAAAGAATCAGACATTTTTGGGAAAAATAAAAAGGAAAGAAAGAAAAAGAAAAAACTGAAGTTAAATGGATCCCGCATGTTTACAGTGGCAGTTTCTTAATATTCATTCTTCAATCAAGTTCTAAACGATACATTCACAAATAACAATAACCTTCAAGAGGTCAACTAGAAAACCTTCCCGACCATATATGTTCTTCTAACCCACCCAAAGAAAAACCCTACTTCTGTAGTGTCAAACATTTACTAAACCATGATGACTTCAATTCTCAAAAGTTAATTCCACAAACAAACCAACAAAATGCGTGTCAACCTCGTGGTAAAAATAGATACATGAAACAAGATTATAATGAATGGAACCATACTAATTTTCTCTGACTTTTGAGGAGCCTTCTTAGGAGGAGATGGTGCAACCTTATCCGCCGAGATTTTTGACTCTTTTACAGAAGTTTTTGGTTTTGATTTATTTGATGCTCGAATCATATCAAATAAACCATCTTCTGTAAGAAAAGCAGTACTGCAGAAGGAACGGGTATATTAAACTTTTAATATGTCAATGATAAAGCAAAATAAAAATGGTTTGATATCACTACACAAAACAAAAGGAAAATACCCAAGCTCTTTAGCCTTCGCAGACTTCCGTCCGCCGATATCTTCATCACATAGAAGGTAATTCTGCAAGAAGTACCAAAAGCCATGGACTGATAAGAAACACGTGAATAAAGCAATAATCAGATATAAGAGCCAACAAATAATCACCGTCTTTTTGCTGATGGATCCTGTAACACGCCCACCATGGCGTTTGATCAAATCCTCAGCTTCTTCTCTTTCTAAACTGGAAGAACATAACAAGGGAAAGGCTACGTTAAAAAACTGAATCAAGAAAGACAAATGCACCACATCACCATAAATATAGAATCTATTGTTCCTTACTACTATTATTTTCAAACAGTCTATCTTTCATGCACCAAGCACCCCCTTATGGTAGGAATCAGCCAGTACAGTAAAAGAACACACAAACAAGCACACAGATGATGGTAGATATATGCAGTTGACTGCAATGCATAAAAACCTTGTAGAAACAACAACAACAGTACCTGTCAAGTGTTCCACTAATCACAAAAGTCAAACCATCCAAACAGTCAGGAACACCTTCCGGAACTTCCTGATACACGAGAAACTAAATATTAAATGGCCGCAAATGGCATTTCAAGAAGAAAAAAATTATAACTCCTTTTACTTGTTACCTTCTCTCCTTTATGAGGAGGATCTTTTCTCTCACCAAAGTTCATAAACCCACCCCTACCACCACCACCTCTGCCTCTACCACCTGCCGGTGTACTTTTTCCACCACGACCACGACCACCAGGTTTTATAGTTTTAGCACTTTTATCATCATCTTCTTCATCACTTTCATCAACATCCATGCCTTTTGAGGTAGTGGATGTGGCTGAAGGGCCTTTCACAACACGACCTCTACCCCTTCCAGCAGATTTCGTATTAGATATTACTTTTTCACCATCATCTTCATCGCTTTCATCAACTAATTTTTTAGCAACTCCTTTTCCGCTACCACTTTTCAGCTTCTTGTTTGGGGTTGTATTGACTGAACCCTTCCTTGAAGTCGGTGTAACAAAATCATCATCGTCATCATCACTCTCAAGTTTGTGGACCTTTTTTCCGGGTGGGGGCTTTGCATTACTGGCTAACTCTGTATTACCCCTTTGTGCTTTCTTTTTAGCAGTAACTTCCTCAACCTCCATCTCATCTTTTTCACTTTCATCTTTAGCAAAGTATTTGCTAGTTTTCCTCCTGCCGGAAGAACATTCTTGAACTCCTTGTACCTACGATCCCCCAATATAGAAAAATAAAAGAGTAAGGGGATGAAACTAGAGATAGAGAAAGTACAGGAGCTGCAACTTATGCCATTCTTTATCTTCATATAGGGGCATATGCTAACATGTTTCCTAACAGTTTGCATTTATCACATAAAAAGTAAAAGAAACGCACATAGCAGGTGCCCATACAACAAAATAATGAAATTTCCAGCGAAGCAAAATTTTAATTATTTGCTTTTACAATCATCCCAATTGTCTAATCTTAACATTCCATTTCCAAGATAACCCGAAAAACGATTATAGTTCAGCTGAAATGATCTAACACTTCCAGACTTGAAGAATACAATTAATTGGATATACATCAACTTGCATCTCCCAGAAGAAAATGCCAACGACACTAGAAAATCATCAAGACAAGAATCCACCACAACAGTTTGACAGGGCACAACGGAAATCTGAAGAACAGACCAATTTCGCAGGCTGTGGAGAGGCAGGAGGCTTCTCCGCTGGAGAAGGCTTTGATGTACTGCCATTCCCAGAGACTTTCTCATGTTGCTTCATGAACCACTTTCTTATATCCTGAGACTGCCATTCAGATTAAAATAGTAAAAAGATTGCTATACAGTATTCCTTCCAAGTTATGGGACTCGCACCGAAAAGAAAAAAGAAACCATGACCAAGAATGAACAAACCATGTCCATGAAAATAAACAATGCATGTGACTTTGTGACTGATGTGCGAATTCAATTTAGGCTTACCATTATCAAGACCTCTGCAATTGCCAACAGATTTCACCCTCGGAATTCTACCTCCACAAGACAATTTGTTTACCGATTCTGTACAACAAATGAGGGGTAAAAATATGGACAAAATTATGAACTTGGTAACGTGTAAAATGCACTCTACTTCACCAGCGAAAGCAACTAAAAGAGCCCAACCAAAAAATGGAGTAAATCGACTGCAATATTTCCTCAAACAGTAAAATTCCACAACCCTTCGAGCCCCTGACCCTAGTTTAACAATTACAAAGAGAAGAACAAAAGAAATACCAAAACAATCGCCTGCAACTCACTAGGTGCCCGTGTGTGTGCGTGCGTGTGTCTCAGAGAGAGAGAGAGAGAGAGAGAGAGAGAGAGAGAGAGGAGAGACCATAACTCAATCACTGCATAGTTTTCTAATCAATCTGCAATGTTCACAACTGTTAGCACGCGTGCGTGCGTGTGTGTGTGTGTGTGTGTGTGAGAGAGAGAGAGAGAGAGAGAGAGAGAGAGAGAGAGAGAGAGAGCTTCTCAAAGAAGCCGTGCTATTTGCCTATTTCAATGGAAATACGCACCGCGACTGTGTGCGTCTCTCTCACTCAGCCGTTGATCTCGCTTCAAACTGAGAGTCATTTGAGTAGGACTGTAGAAATTCTTCTCGGACTGAAGAGCTTGGGCCTTCCTGAGACCTGTAAAGGCCCAATATGCCGATGATCAAGGCCTATAGATTAAAATATTTTTCTCTCTTTTATTCGGCTTATAAATTTTATTACTAAAAGGAAAAACAACAAATATATCCCTTTTGTGTTAAAAAAAAAATGAAGTCATTATTTTAAAATTTAAAAATTATATTTTTTTTATTTTTTAATTAATATAACACTTATTATTTGTAGAAGTCGCATAATAATATTTCTAACTCGTATAGGATGATTGGATGCACTACTTGTCTGCATTTGGACGGCTGGTTTGATTAGTATAGTCTGTGTTTGTCCTTTTTCTTTTGCTGGTTTCAATTTTCTCTCTAGGCTTTTAGCAGTAGGAGGAAGTTGAGCTTTTGTTTTGTTTTTCTGGTTTGTTGTTCTTTTCCTCTTGTTGAGGTTTTAGACCACCTTTGAGTTGTCTCCCATGTTTCTATTTCGGTTGTGATTTGTATGTTGAACTTTGTATTAGGACTTTGTCCTCTTTGAGTGCTATAATATTACCTCTGTCGTTTTGGTAAAAAAAAAAGTATAGGTATGATATGATTGATAAATAAATTTATGTAATAAATTAATATTAACTTTAATATTGTTCAATTAGATCTAATTAGATAATTAACTATTCTTTATAAAAGTTGGTATAGAACGTGGAAGTTATTCTCAATTTGGTTACGGACCGCCTTAGGGATAAAGCGGTGCGGAATAGAACATGGAAGTTACAAATCAAAGAGAAACTAAAACACTTTTTATGGAAGTGTTTTACAGTTTTGTCGGTCAGTACCACAGTAGCTCAGAGAGGTGGGCAAGTCAATATCATTTGTTGCATGTGTGGAGAGCAAGAAGAGACAGTTGAACACCTTCTTTTAAGCTATAAGAGGGCAAAACTTGTTTGGAAATTAGCCTCGATTGAATGGGAACTAGATACATGTGCACATATTTCTTTTAAAAAATGGTGGTGGCAAATGAGTTCGGTAGAGAAATTAGAAGTGGCAAAATTCAGCAGTCTACTTATATTCTCTGGTGGTTGTGGCGGTCTCGGAGCTTGTGGCTATTCGAGAAAGTCTGGATGCCATAGGAAGTAGTGGTGCGAGTGGCATGGCGAGATTGGCAGGAATTCGCATCTCTGAAGGCATAGTGTTGGTTAGTTTGGTTTGGCTTTGGTCTTTTGTTTGTATAATTATTTTAGTTGGCTTTTGTTTATGTTGGAATAGAGGATAAAAGTCTTGGAGGTTGCATCCCTGCCTCTAGCCGTGTTTTTGTGGTTTGTTTGGTCTCTAGACCACTCTTAGAGTGGCTCATGTCTGATTGTAAATGTGGTCGAATGTTGTTCGGATGTTTGCTTTGTTAATAATACATCTATCGTTTGAAAAAAAAAAATGTCTGAGTAATTTTAAGGGTAATTGAAGCTTGAAAGTTGAAACTAATCAATCACTGAAAAAAATAATGTTTTTATAACTTATATGTGTAAATCGATTTTCTGTTCAATTTGGTTAACCGATCGCTATTATCCAAACCGAGCAGAAAATCAAATTTTTAAGAAAATGTAAACTGAAAACTGAACCAAATATTCGGTTTCACTTTCGTCCAAATCGAATTTTCAGTTTCAATCGGTTCGACTCGGTTAAATGAACATTGTTCACCCCTACTGGGAACCGATTTGTTGACCGATCAAGTTTGCCGGAAAGAACCGGTTGTAAACGAACCAGTAAAAATCAGTCAATGACGGGTTGAACTGATAACAAATTGGTCCGTCAGACCGATAGAACCTGTTATTTTTTTACTTTTTTATAAAATAAATTAAATTTGAAATTATCATTAATATAAAAAAATAATGCATAATCAGATATAAAGAATATGCATGAGTATTTGATCTAGTATTTAAGCATTTGAATGTTACAAAATGCCTAAATATTATATATATTTAAAAATATTAATAAAAAATATTGATTGGACCGATTCAATTATTGGTTCCACTAGTAAACCATTAATGTAGCTTGACCAGTTCGATGACCCGTGCGATTTCAAAAACCTTGCATTAAAGTGACATTTAAAAGAACAATGGTGCCACAAAAGAGTTAAATTAGCAAATTCCCTTTTCTAAAATGTTGGGCAAGATTTTTAACAATGATATAATAAGGGTTTAATTGAAAAACCATAAAAAAAAATAAAAAAAAAAACCTAGGACCTTAATCTAAATAATAATAA